GGAGGAGGAGGGCAGCGCCATGACTCATTTGCAAGCAGGTCTCTCCCCGGAGACTCTGGAGAAAGCCCGGCTGGAGCTGAACGAGAACCCCGACACCTTGCACCAGGACATCCAGGAGGTGCGGGACATGGTGATCACCCGGCCGGACATCGGCTTTCTCCGCACCGACGATGCCTTCATCCTGCGGTTCCTACGGGCCAGGAAGTTTCAGCACTTCGAGGCGTTTCGCCTCCTGGCCCAGTACTTTGAGTATCGCCAGCAGAACCTGGACATGTTCAAGAGCTTCAAGGCCACAGACCCGGGCATCAAGCAGGCGCTGAAGGATGGCTTCCCTGGCGGGCTGGCCAACCTGGACCACTACGGCAGGAAGATCCTCGTCCTTTTTGCTGCCAACTGGGACCAGAGCAGGTAAATGCAGAGACACCCACCCGCCTTAACCCCTTCTTTCCTCGGGCAATGCGTGGGAAAAGCTGTGACATATCAGGGCGAGGAGGGGTGGGCAGCAGGGACACACCCGGCTCTGCCCACGGGGGGCTGGGCAGCAGCCTGGGAAGCAGAGGGAGAAGAGAAAGAAGAAATGTATTTTGTAGCTTAGGGCCTTTTCAACCCTCTCATCCTTTAGGCTCTGAATTTTGGGACGGAAGTGGGAACTGCTCGGGTGCTCTTCTCACCTGGCTAGTATGAGGTTTACACCCTTCTGCCTCCCCTTAGCCAAAGTGAGCTGGCACAGTAGATCATGCACTTATCCCCCTGACAAAGGCTGGTTGCACTCTCTGTGCTGGTCTTTCTGCTTCAGCACACACAGAGCTGCTCAGGTGCCATAGGAGAAAGTGGGAGATGCTGTGTGTAGGACAGGAGTATCCATCATGGCTTTTGAGCTGAAAAGTTTGCCTGTGCAGGAAACTGAGACTCCAAATCCTTTCCCTCAGCTAACGAAAGTGCTTCCTGAGCCACCTGGAAATGCCAGGATGGAAGTTACAGTAACCACTTCTTTTCCCCACTCCTGCTGCTCCAAGTGTGAATAATAAGATGCAAGCACACAAAGCTTTGGTAGCAAATTGAAGGAGGCTAGTGCAGTCCCTAGAACAATTTCTGATCCCTTTTGGATCTGCTCTAGCCTGAAGATGACTTAGCACACTGACCCAAAAGCTGTCTCCCATCAAGGCCCTTTCTTTTAGCAATTGGCTTGATACTGTGTGACACTATTTGGTTATTCTAAGTATCTCATTGGGTGTCATGCCCAGTTTCTCCTGCAGTCTAAAATTACATCCACAAAAATTGCTTGCTTTTCAGTACATGCAAATGAATGAATCCATTAAGAATGAACTCTAAAGCCTACTCCTGTGAGCACTGCATGGCTTCCCTAGGCTCCCAACCTGAGGGCAGGGTTAGGATCTGAAGCACTTCTTAGTGAGAAAACTTAAAATCTTGCTAGTTGCCTTCACATGAACCCAAACCGTCTTTTGTGCAGTCAGCATGGGCCGGGCACAGGCAGTGCGGCGTGTTCAGTGCAGATATCCCAAGCTCAGCTATTTTGAAACATGAGGAGGGCACAAACAGGTAGCAGTGTGGATAGAAATGACAAAATTTGGGGGATTGTCATACTCAAGCCTGCCCTTTAAGTATGTGTAGCTGTTCTCTTGCAAGCTGTGTCAATAGCCATCGCAGGGAGTGATCCCACAGCTCCCTGCAGCAATCGGTGTTGCAGCTAGGGATGGGTCTCTGCCTGAAGGGCTGCTGGCCCATCGTGGCTTTCCTCCTCTCCAGACAGGGTGGCCACATCCACACTGCCTACGTGCTGAGTTTCCTGGCCCTTGCTAACCCATGAATCATGCCCAGGCACTGGGAGAAAGCTGTCTGGCACAAATCAAAACTGCCCACGACCAGGCTAACAACTAGAAAGGATGGATGAACATACGCAGAGCTGGGGCCAGCATCCTTTTCCTGCTTCAGTTTTCTGGCAGATGGAGCCAAAGAAGCCGAGTGAGGAAGCAGTGGTGATGAGGCTAAGGACTCTCTGAGTGGGCTTCATTTCCCACATAAGGACCAGGTCAACTTTTTATTTTAAAAACAGCTCCACAAAATCTTAAAAATCCCCAAATGATGAATTATCCAAGACATGGATATTTAGGCCATTTATTAAGTCATACGTCTGCCATGAAGAAGTTCCCTTGTTAAAGGTAGTGTGACCTACTCTGTACTCTTACTTCTCATTAACGAAAAAACCCCAAAGCTTTATGTGACGCTTTTCACATCATTACTTCCTAGTTAAAAGAATACTAAGAATTAGAATTCAGAGATAAAGCAGCTTTTAAAAAATAATTGCCATGTGAAAAAAAAGGTTTATTTTCTTCTTAATTTTGGATATGCTGATATTTAAATTACATGAGATCAGCTGACACAACAGTCAATTTATTATGATCTTTTTCATGAAGTCCTATTGGTAAAATTATTATTTATGATATAATATGGAAGTGACTGGGGTACACAGGGGTACCTAATGGCCATGTTTGTACTTGGATTCCTATTGCTCTTCAGCATTGCCCACCCACGGTATGCCTCTCCTCCAGAGCGAGGGATTTGTTTTCAGATAGACCACTCAGACAAAGGGGAGAGAGCTGAAGCCCAGCTGCGGGGAGTGGCTTGCTCCAAGGCACATGACAAGCCAGTGACAGATCTGGGAATGGAGCTAGGTCACTCTTTTCTAATTAATTTAGTGTCTACCATTATCCGATGTTCAGCAACTGAACCTGGGGAGCATTGTGTATGGAACGTATATTAGAGCTGCTACGCAATATGTCTCAAGCTTATGCCTTAACTGACTTGAGATCTTATAGTACGTAAACCTGTGCTCCTCTTACAGCAACACTGGGAGGATTACTTTGTGAAGTCTCTCTTGTTAGGGCCTCTTCGTATGCTTCATAAACTAAGTTAATAGAACACAGCAAGCCTCCAAATTTATCGTGTGTACGACTTATTATGGCCAGTATGTAACAATTAGGAATAAAAAGTTCCAATTTGTTATTTAAATGAATAGAAGACATACTATAGATGATTTATATAGCACCGGCAGCCTATGATTTACATAGTTCCAATTAGAAAGAAAAGCGTGGGAGGCAGAAATTTCCTATGGTAAAACAAGCCTGTGTACTAGATGTTAAATCATTAAATTAAAGCAGGGCCTGAAAACTGTACCAGATGTCCTACCATCTGAACAACTAAATCAGACAAGTATTTAAAACAAACAAACAAATAAAGGAAAGGTGAAGGATAATGCATCGAGTAGCCTGGTAGCTTTTCAATGGGACCCTGCCTAACTCTCCATCCTGTCTCTCCTGTGGGGCAAGTTCATTCCTGCCAGGGGGCTGGGTAGCACTCGGGAGGCATCAGCCTTCCCTATTAGCTTCCAGATTGTTGATTCTTAACTACATTTGGCTTGTAGGTGTGTACGTGCATCTGAAGACTCCCTTTTTCTTAATGTGTCCAGCTGGTGAAGTTTTTTTTTTTTCAGTTAATTGTACTATTAACTTTAACTCTCAGCAGCGAAGGATCTGTTGTCATGCATGTTCTTCTGTATGCTTCGTGGCACCTGTACACAAATTCCCTAGGAAAATCAGTCCATTTTGATGCTGTTTCTTTGAAATATTTCCCAATATTAATTATCTCAGATTTTTTTCCTAGAAAAAAGCACAGCAGAAGAGAGCAGTGATAGCTAGTTCCTATCTGTGTCACAGTGACCCAGTCAGCTCCCACCATCCTCAGTGAATATGGTAATCCACTGTGCTCATTACCATTAGCTCTGCTGTTGCATCAGATGATTTACAGCAGGGCAAAGACCAAGTCCACTGGTTTGCTTTCAAAACTATGCTTTCATGTACAGAAGTGCTATAAACTTTTTTTTTTCTGCCCATTAAATGAAAATTTAAATTCTGTAGCTATTAGGAGGCTGGTCTGCTCTTCATCTCACTATTAACCACAGGCGAGTTGGCAGGGTATTTTTCAAGCTCTGATGATGGAGACAATGCTAACAATGATAACATATTAACAATAACAAAATACCTGGTTAATAGAGTCAATTTTTGTTTGGAAGTAATATATTTCAAATAATAATTATTAACTACTGCAAACACTCATTTTTTCTACAGTTTCTCCTGCAGACTGATGCTGTCTTATTGTTTCCTAGCTTTTCCCCAGGTATCCGTATCTGCCTATTATCACTTGTATTTAGACTGTGAGTGTTTTGGCTAGGGATCTTTTTGATCAATGCTAATGTAAAATTTAGGTCAGCTGAATCTTCATCCCTGGCTGTGTCTGTTAGACACTGGGCTAACATAAGGAGTAATGAATGGTATTAAATCTGAATCTAAAAGCTAATCTGGTAAAATATTTGAAGCAGTTTCTATTTTTCTATGCATTTTTGTGATACTGGTGATGCTTTTTGTTTTTAGAATAAGGGCCCTGAGGGCATACTGCCACTATTGAAGCAGAATAGCTATAAGAGAAGTTTTGATCCTCCATCTTTTCAGCATTCAAATCTGTACCCAGATTGACAAACCAAGGAGATCTGAGACATCATTTCTAGGTACTCCTTTGTGCATCTTGAGGGCTCTTGTTTCGCTGAAATTCTAAAAATATTGAGCCAGAGCAGTAGGTTAGAAATGGGATGATGGCTCAGGGACTTGACCAGCTTTCTCTTGTAAACCACAACGGCACAAGAGCTCATTTGACAGAAACGTTTACTTGTCAAAATGGTGATGAGCTTAAAATACAGACTGTGCATTCCTTACATATTTGGGGCCTTCAGGAGACATGTGGCTTAAATTCAAGCAAAGAAGACTTACCATTTGTCTCTTCTAGTTAACAGTTTCTATCCTGAGAGGCAAACTCATGCCACTCAGTTTTAATTCTCAGAATAACTTGGAATTTCTTGATATTGGGGGGGGGGGGGGGGGGAAGATGACAAATAGCAATAGAGATAGTAGGGCAACTCTGCCAAATATGAATTGACTGGAACCAGAATCTGGTTAAACAGATGATAGGGTGGATGCCACCCATCGTCAAGAACATAAAATATTGAAAATGGCTGACACAGCTGGATTTGACATGAGGCACCTGTATCCTGCATTCTCCCTGTCTCTTCTCTTTCTGTTGGCCTGGTGGAAATCACAGTGGCCTCTGGGGGTGAAGAGAATGCTTAGACCACAAAACCAAGAGGTGAAGCTGAAAGATCATAGTGAAGTACTACCAAGAGTTGGTAGCAGTATCTGCCAGACTGTTTTTCCCAGAAATCCTTGGAAAGCCTTGGAATCTTTTCATGTCCCATAAAAAATTCTCAAAGAACTTTTCATTTCTTTAAAGGGGAAATTGCTGCCACTGTTAAATTATGAGAGAGCGAGGTACCTACCTAG